CACCATTATATAATAGGTGAATGCCTACCAGCCTACCGATTGTTGACTGGAGTTTACCCACTGACATGGCTAAGATGGACTGGTATGGGGTTCAATAGACCCCAATACTAGTTGTCTTCTAGCTGGAGATTCATGACATAGAATTTTCTCTGCAAAATAGATTACCTAAAACAGGACGTTTTAAAATTGTAAAAAAAAAGTAAATAATATGCATGCATACTAGCAAATCTGTGTTTCTAATGGTTTTCTCAATATGTTTACTAGCTACTATGAGGCACAGCAGCAGGACCTAGGATTCTCTATGACCTCTTGGCTTGATCTTTGCTGGCTGCACAGCTCAGAAATCATAGACATTCTCCACCACATTCTAAGGCTCCATTCACACTGGCTCAATAAATGCCAGTGCTCCTGGCAGAAAAAAATGCTAATTTTGAGCATTTTTGTACTAATGTTTAGGAATGTGTAGCATTTTTTTCTGTCAGAAAGCTCAAATACGCAAACCAGAAGTGTTTTCTTTTGCCTTTAAACCTTGAGCTTAAAATTTGTCTCTAAATGACCTAATGTGCATGGGCACAGAGGATAGCTTTGGTTGCTTCTAGGAGCAGCATTTTTTAAACCAGTGTGCATGGACCCTTAGTATGCCATTATTCTTCCACCTTTGCAAAGGGGCCAAAAGCATCTGCATAGAATAACGTGGGTCCAGCCAGTCCCATCTTGTCTTTTCTCATCTCATTTCAACATACTGTTGCATAGTGGACTGCAATGGGGTCTGTTGCTCAGGTCCTCTACACAGAATAGACCAATTGTTCTCAACAACTAGGCCATAGCCCCAGGCTATGGCTTCCCTCCTCCTGAGCCTACAACCAGCTGCAAATTGCCTAACTACAATGAGTGCCAAGCAACCTCCCATAGTGGCCCTCAACCAACTATAGTCTCTCAAGGCCTTCTGATAGCCCTCAACCTCTGCAGCGTACCTTAACTTGCTACAGAGCCTCCAACCTTCCCTTCAAACGTCAACAGTGTTCTACTGTGCCCCCCAATCTCCTACAGTGCATCCCAGCTCCCAAAATGCCATTCAGTGTCCTACTGTGCCTCTACAAAGCTTCCAGCTCCTGGAGAACCCTCCCAGCCACCTCCAGAGACTCAGTCCTTCACAGTTGCCCCCAGCTCCCTCCAGAAACCTCATTCCTTACAAGGCCACTAAGTTTGCGGCATAGTCTCCAAACCCCTCCAGGAACCCAGTCCCACACAGTGACAACCAAGTTCCATCCAGAGCCTTCAAACATTTCAAAATGTTTTTTATCCCCATAGTTTAGTTTCATAACTATATATTTTTTTTTTTATGTTGGGGACATGGTACCTTGTTCTCAATAAGTGAGAACCACTGGTATTGGCTGTACAGCTGCAAGGGTACAGGTTAAGCCGGGCTGGGTGCCTCGCTGGGCTCCATTGATGCAACGCATGCTGGGAACCCCACAGGCCCCATGCTGAAGTATCCTTTAGGCCAGTAAGGTCAGCAAGCGATGAGTTAAAGAGTGTTATTGCTCCCCTACCTCTCACATACAGTGCACAAGATGGGCATGCAGCCAAACACAAGGTCCATTATATTACGGTGACATACTCATCACCTCCCAGCAATGCTGAAGATAGATAATGGAGCAGACTCTGCAAGATGGCATATGGATGTTAAACAGAGGTTTTCAAGTATGCAAACATGATTGATTTTTCTCCTGCAATTGTAGGGTACTTTCACACGGGCGTTCCATTTTTTTTTTCTTTCTTCAGTTCAGTCACGTTTTTTCAAAGAAAAAACGGGTGAGTTTACATCCGTTTTTTTCATGTTTTTCATGCGTTTACATCCGTTTTTCATCCATTTATGTCTGTTTTCATCCGTCTACATCCGTTTTTGGTTCGTTGACATCCGTTTTTCGTCCGTTCCAGGTTTTTTTGTGGAAGAAAAATAGGGCTTTCTTCCATTCAAAAAAACGGATGTAAAAAGATGTTCATCTGTTTACAATCGCAAGTCCATAGAAATACATGGGGGTCCGTTTTTCAAAAACGGACATACAGAATGCCCGTGTGAAAGATTCTGGTTTACGGAAGTTAGTTTGAGGAAGAACTTAGTGTCATAATGGCCATCTTACACGCAGAAAGAGAGGAACAAACACTGACCACAGAAAACAATGGAAACGATATTAGAAAAAACAGTGTTTTTGTTGTCCATAATAATCTACAAAGGACAAAGAGGTCAATTGTATTTTTGTACTTGTTAACCTTTTTGCTTGTTGAATCTCCCACCAGTCCAGTTGGTGAATGGGCCAGTAGGCTATTGCTATGTAATAATTACTTTATAGATATAACTTGGGGCAGCACAGTGGCTAAATGGTTAGCACTTCCCCCTGGCAGTACTAATGTCCTTGGCTAAAAATCCCAACCACGGCAACACCTGCCTGGAGTTTGTATTTTTTTCCTGTGCCTGCGTGGGTTTCCTCCGGGTACTCCAGTTTCCTCCCTAACTCCAAAGACATGCTGGTAGGTTACTTGGCTCCTGTCTAAATTGGCCCTAGTATGTGTTGAATGTAAGTTAGTGACCTTAGATTGTACACCCCTTGAGGGTTAGGGACCTTAGATTGTACACCCCTTGAGGGTTAGGGACCTTAGATTGTACACCCCTTGAGGGTTAGGGACCTTAGATTGTACGCCCCTTGAGGGTTAGGGACCTTAGATTGTACGCCCCTTGAGGGTTAGGGACCTTAGATTGTACGCCCCTTGAGGGTTAGGGACCTTAGATTGTACACCCCTTGAGGGTTAGGGACCTTAGATTGTACGCCCCTTGAGGGTTAGGGACCTTAGATTGTACGCCCCTTGAGGGTTAGGGACCTTAGACTGTACGACTCTTGAGGGTTAGGGACCTTAGATTGTACGCCCCTTGAGGGTTAGGGACCTTAGATTGTACGCCCCTTGAGGGTTAGGGACCTTAGACTGTACACCCCTTGAGGGTTAGGGACCTTAGACTGTACACCCCTTGAGGGTTAGGGACAGATGAAAATGTACTATATATTTGTAAAGCACTGCGTAAACTGACGGCGCTATATAGCCCACAAAAATATTCTTCCCAAATATAATTCCATATATTTGAAATGCTACACTTTTGGCCATATTCAGTATATTTCAATATAATATATACTGCATGTCGAAATGCGTTTTTATTACAAAATATCTGAAAAATATTTTTAAAAATACATTTCAAATATACTGTATGTCTTTAAAAATACAAATCTACATTTTTGGAATGCATTTACAAATATATGTAAAAATATATGTGAAAATGACTTTTTTCTATGATAAAAAAGAAAACCTGAAGAATACATTTAAAAAATATATATTTTTTAAAAACATATATATATTTTTTAAAATATATTCTTCAGATTTCATTTAACATATAAAAAGGTAATTTTAACATATATTTTTACATATATTTGTAAATGCATTCCAAAAATGTAGATTTGTATTTTTAAAGACATACAGTATATTTTAAATGTGTATATATATATATATATTGAAATATATTTTGAAATATATTGAATAAGGCCAAAATGGTAGCATTTCAAATATATGACAATATATTTGGGAAGAATATTTTTAAAATATATTTCAAATATATTTTTCTTCCATAGGGGAAGTACCTGTAATAAATAAATAAAATAAGTTATCATCTTGATGTAATTGACCTTGTTTGGAATGTATTAAATCCTTCCTAAGTATGGTGATGTAGAGATAAGGGCCATTATAGTATGAGGACATGGCACACCCATAATACCAATCATGGGGCCAACATAATACAATGGGTGAATGCCTACCAGCCTACAAACTTATTGACTAGCGTTCACCCACTGACATAGTACTGACTGTTATGGGGTTCAAAAGACCGGATTACTTGCTGCCTTCTAGCTGGTGATTCATGTAAATTGTTATGAACATTAATAATGAAATGTTACAGATATGCAACTCCTATCCTCATATTGATTAGTGGTTCCAAATTAATAATGACTTCTGCAGTAGGGAACAGACACAAAAAGATACACTCAGAATATTTCCAAATAGTAATTTGGAGTAATTTGTATAAAAAACTTCAAATGCGCCGAATAAATAGAACAGTAGTTCTGTTTGTTCAGGGCATTTGAAGTTTTTTTACACACATGATTATGTAGGTATTTAATTGCTATTACAATTGTACTTTTATGGTAACAAAGAGTGTTACATAGGCAGGCTAATTTCTAATCAGGACTTGAAGGAATGCAATCATGTAATGAAAATATTATTAGTGCCGTGTGCACATTGAGTGCAATGTACAATACACAGGCAAATCATACAAAACTAGAATACAATGTTATACAGAATTTACAATTTCCTTTACAGAATCTTACCTGCAAAATAGATTATGGAAGCAAATTTACTTTAAATGTTACTAAACCCACAACTGTGAAATCAGTCTGTATATGCAGTAAAACATGCTTGTTATACTCACTGTGGAACCTAAGGGGTTAATCCTCCATATTGTGTAAAAAGGCTGCTTGATCCTTTCTTCTCTGATCCTTCCCTTCTTCTACTGTCCCCAATCCATCTACTGATAGTACAGATCCTTGGGGCCAAGCTGCACATGCTCACTTTGGTGTGTATTGATAGAGAGCTTTTTTTGTTCTTTGGGAAAGTGCATGTGATCAGTACAGGTCCAATCAGCACTCATAGGACAGGGGTTATGCAGCCTCAAAGGACAATCAGGGGAGAATGAAAACTCCTCCACCAAGCTTTACCCAGTGCTCTGCTGGACACTGATAGAAGTCACAAGACTTCTATCTGTTGATGAGAAAAGGTATTTAGCAGTTTATATTTACTAAAATAATTGCATTTCAATGTTCTGTGTACTGTGGGAGACCGGATATAGTGAATGCAGGGTCCTGGGAGACAAGGTACAGTGAATGCAGGGTCCGGGAGAGTGGATATAGTGAATGCAGGGTCCGGGGAGAGCGGATATAGTGAATGCAGGGTCCAGGGAGACCAGATATAGTGAATGCAGGGTCCAGGGAGACTGGATATAGTGAATGCGGGGTCTGGGGAGATCAGATATAGTGAATCCAGGGTCTGGGGAGACCAGATATAGTGAATGCGGGGTCTGGGGAGACCGGATATAGTGAATGTGGGGTCCGGGGAGACCGGATATAGTGAATGCGGGGTCCGGGGAGACCGGATATAGTGAATGCAGTGTCTGGGGAGATCAGATATAGTGAATACAGGGCCGTGGGAGATCAGATATAGTGAATGCAGGGTCCAGGGAGACCGGATATAGTGAATGCAGGGTCCGGGGAGATCAGATATAGTGAATGCAGGGTCATGGGAGATCAGATATAGTGAATGCAGGGTCTGGGGAGATCAGATATAGTGAATGCAGGGTCCGGGGAGACCAGATATAGTGAATGCAGGGTCCGGGGAGACCAGATATAGTGAATGCAGGGTCCGGGGAGATCAGATATAGTGAATGCAGGGTCGTGGGAGATCAGATATAGTGAATGCAGTGTCGTGGGAGATCAGATATAGTGAATGCAGGGTCGTGGGAGATCAGATATAGTGAATGCAGGGTCGTATGAGATCAGATATAGTGAATGCAGGGTCCGGGGAGATCAGATATAGGGAATGCGGGGTCCGGGGAGAGCAGATATAGTGAATGCAGGGTCCGGGGAGACCAGATATAGTGAATGCAGGGTCCGGGGAGATCAGATATAGTGAATGCAGGGTCTGGGGAGATCAGATATAGTGAATGCAGGGTCGTGGGAGATCAGATATAGTGAATGCAGGGTGCGGGGAGACCGAATATAGTGAATGCAGGGTCTGGGGAGATCAGATATAGTGAATGCAGGGTCGTGGGAGATCAGATATAGTGAATGCAGGGTCGTAGGTTTAGTAACACTTTCAAACTTTTTAAGTGCAAACTTGCAAGGTAATAATATACGTATTAGCAAATCTGTGTTTCTAAAGACTTTCTCAATGTGTTTGCTAACTTCTGTGATTCTCTGTGACCGCTTGGCTTGATCTCTGCTGGCTGCACAGCTCAGAAATCATAGCCTTTCCCCACCACCCACTAAATATGTCATTATTATTCCATCTTTGCTCAAGAGGCCAAAACCATCTGCACAGAACAATGTGGCTTCTCCCATCTCATTTGATTGAAATCGGCATTTAGTAAAATCATACAGGGAGAGGAGGGATTAGGGTGGAAATGGAGTGGTCCTATTACACGTCCAGCTCCTGGCAAAGAATAAAAGTATTTTCCATAGAGAACCTCCTATGAGGGAATAATTTCATCACTTCCCTCAGACATTAGTACTGTAGTGCAGTTATAGTTCCCATGTTCCTATCTAGGTGTCACTATAGTAAGAGGTAGTCCCAAGGATCAAAATGGGTTAAGGAATATTATGCCTTACCCCTACCAGTAGAGGGCGCCCTATATATGGTTTACCAAACAGAACAAAAGGGGGAATCTTCTAAAAAAATCCAGTTGTTGCAAAACTACAAGTCCCATCACGTCCCTGCCTTTGGGAGTCATACTTGTAACTGTCAGTTTTGCAATGCCTCATGGGACTTGTAGTTTGGCAACAGCTGGAGGGCTGCCAGTTTGACTACCCGTGTCTTAGGGGAACCAAGTTCCTCCCAACTACCTTCCTCTTCTGTATTGTTGCATTGGTCGAGCACCACCTGCAGTGGGGAGTACAGACTGCGCCTGCCTACACCCTGACCTCCCACAGTGCCATGCAACCTGCCATAGCGGCCCTCAGTGCCCCTCAACCTATCACAGACCCCCCTCTACAACCCTGGCAAAGTACTACTATAGAGCCTCCAGTCCTCCCCAAACTTCAACAGTGTTCTCCAGTGCCCTCAACCTCCTATGGTACACAATCTCAGTAGACTCTATGTTGAAGTATTCATGTGGGTCTGGGTGAATGCAGTAAAGTCAGTCAGCAAAGGGTTAATGAGCATACATTCTCCCCCACCTCTCATATATAGGGCATAATAGGGACATGCAGCCAAATACACAGTCCCATTACATTACAGTACCATGTTCATCACCTCCCACCAATGCCAAACAGAGATAATGGAACAGACTTTGTGAGATGGAATTGCCCTCCACCCTATAGCAGAAGTACTGCTACAGGGCGGCATGGCTGCGCAAAATCATGTATATATACGTGATTTGCATTGCCAGGTAGGAGGTGCACGTGCGCCACCCTACACACTACGCTATTGACTGCTGTGGATGTCAATCACCAGGTCCTGGCCGGAAGGGGCGTATTTACCACAGGGCAAACAAGGCATTTGCCTAGGGCAGCATTTTTCAGAGGGGGCAGCACTGTCCCTCGGAAGAAGGGATAGAAGAAGGGACACGCGCGGCATGGAGACCTGGTGGGTTCTGAGAAAGGCTGTGGGTTTCATGATGGTGTATGCACAGCCCGACTCTTGTTCCCGGGGATGTGTGTGGAGCTGTGAAAGCGAGCGTCTTTTTCTGTCTTGCCATGGCAGATGGTGGCTAGTGTACGGGGGGCTGTGGTAGTGGAAGGCTCTCTCTGCAGGGGGGGGGGGCGCTAATTTTTGTGTTGCCTAGGGCAGCACAAAACCTAAATACAACACTGCCTGGCTGGTGATTCCCGGCTGGGACTCAGTGATCGTCGGCAGGGCTGAGAGGGGAGAAATCTGTGTGTAAACAACACAGGTCTCTCTCCTGGCAGCATGGACATGCTGCTTTCTCTCTCTCTGCACAGCAGAGCAATACAAAGCAGCATGTCTCCCTAGTAAAACACACCCCCAGCACACAGTTAACCTTTTGATCATCCCAGATGTTAACCCCTTCCTGCCCAGTGCCATTAGTACAGTGTCAGTGCTTTTTATTAGTACTGATCACTGTATTTTTGTCAGTGGCAGATAGTCAGTTCCCACCCAGTGTCAGAATGCCCGCCGCAGTCCTGCTATAAGTCGCTGATCGCCGCAATTACTAGTATAAAGAAAACAAAAAAAAATTCCAGTATCTATACCGCCTTTTGTAAACGCTGTAACTTTCATGTAAACCAATTAATTTACACGTATTGGGATTCTATTTAGCAAAGACATGGAGCAGAATACATTTTGTCCTAAATTTATGCCGAAATTTGATTTTTTTACATTTTTTATTGGATATGTTCAATAGCAAAAAGTCAAAAATATTGTTTTTTTTTTCCAAAATTGTTGGTCTTTTTTTGTTTATAGCACAAAAAATTAAAACCGCAGAGGTGATCAAATACCACCGAAAGAAAGCTCCATTTATGGGGGAAAAAAGACATAAATTTCATTTGGGTGCAGTGTTGCATGAATGCGCAATTGTCAGTTAAAGTAACACAGTGCCGTATCGCAAAAAATGGCCTGGTCAGGAGTGTGGGGATCCTCCGGAGGGCAAGGGGTTAAACACAGATTTGTAATCGTACTCAATTTGTAACCTGGATTTTTTTAGGCATTCAAATAAAAGATACTTTAGTTCTGCTTTATGGAGGTCAGATTGTGGAAGAGTTTGGTGTCACAATGACATTCTCACATTCGGAAAGAGAGGAACCGGCATTACCCTCAGTGACACATTGGAGGCGGTCCATAAAAAGTGCTGTTGTGGTCCATAATCATCTACCAATTTCATACTTTTTCTATTGCAATGTAGAATACGAAAGCAGCGACTGATTCATTCCAGCGAGACACCTCCCTTCCCCCAGCCGTAATGGCTCCATCCCCAAGTTTTATGAAAAACACAGATCTTCCTCAGAAAATATTTAGAGTGCAATGACCCGACGGAAGCCAGCGGAGGGGGGGGGGGTGTGAAATCTTCTTTTCTTGCCAATTACCACGAGTACAAACATGATCTAAATACAAGTCATCTGCTCTCTAGTTGCAGGAAAAAATCGCTATGGAAGTTTTTATGACCCGGGTGGGGTTCAGTTTAGAAAGATAACAGTTCAGGTCAATGTCATGTAAGCAAATGATGGCGTTGTCTGATGTAATGGAACGTTATTACTGCTGAGATATAAAATACTCAAATTAACGGAACTCCGTATTCATTACAGGCAGACTCATGCTGATATGTACAGGCAGCACAGTGGCTAAGTGGTTAGCACTTCCGTCTGGCGGTACTAGGGTCTTTGGTTTGAATCCCAACCACAGCACCACCTGCCTGGAGTTTGCATGTTCTCCCTCTGTGGGTTGCCTCTGGGTTCTCCAGTTTCCTCCCACACTCCAAAGACATGCTAGTAGGTTAATTGGCTCCTGTCTAAATTGTCCCTAGTATGTGTATGTATGAATGTGAGTTAGGGACCTTAGATTGTACGCCCCTTGAGGGTTAGGGATCTTAGATTGTACACCCCTTGAGGGTTAGGGACCTTAGATTGTACGCCCCTTGAGGGTTAGGGACCTTAGATTGTACGCCCCTTGAGGGTTAGGGACCTTAGATTGTACGCCCCTTGAGGGTTAGGGACTGATGTGAATGTACAATATATATATTACTATAATAAATAGTAGGGCTGGTGGCTAAAGGTACCTTTAGCCACCAGCCCTACTATTTCTTATTTAATATCAGTATAACAATAGGAAACCCATCATCCTGGTTGAGTCTATAACTAATCAGTTTTTGTTTAGTTCATCACTGTATTGGAGATTAGGGGTTATTAATTAGCACTAAGGACCTTGAGACACCCGTTTGGAGGTTTTGAAGTACAATATATAAATTTATATATAGCACAGTGGCTAAATGGTTCCACTTCCACCTTGCAGTACTGGGGTCATTGGTTAAAATCCCAGCCACAGCACCTCTTGCCTGGAGTTTGCATGTTCTCCCTGTGCCTGTGTGGGTTTCCTCTGGGTACTCTGGTTTCCTCCTACACTCCAAAGACATGCTGGTAGGTTACTTGGATCCTGTCTAAATTGGCCCTAGTATGTGTATGTATGAATGTGAGTTAGGGACCTTAGATTGTACACCCCTTGAGGGTTAGGGACTGATGTGAATGTACTATATATATGTAAAGCACTGCATTAAATGATGGTGCTATATAAGTACCTGAAATAATAAATATAAGTACATAAAATAAATATGTATGTACTGCATAAATTGACAGCACTAAGAACCTGTAATGTGTAAATGTGCAGCTAGGGGGGTGGTAAAAGCAGGTAGTTGACCTGACTGACCAGGAACGTGCCTATACACAGTGGCGTATTTAGGTGTTGTGCTGCCCTAGGCAAATTGTTTTCCCCCCTGGACACGGGCCAACACAACCCGCAGACAGGGCCTGACATTGACCAACAACACCCTTGCCCCCCCGTACAGGAGAGCCTTCCACAAACACACCCCCCCCCCCCCCCGGTGATAGAGAGAGAGACACTCATCTTCACAGCTCCAGACATCCTCAGGAATGAAAGTCAGGCTATACATACACCA